AAGAACTAGAGGCGATTCCTCCTGAGGAATAATTATTTTTGCAAGAAGATAGTCTTGCTGTGTATCTCACAAAGTCATGTAGGTGTACATTCCTCACCATGATTTCATGGAGATGAGGCAGATGACATGTTATCTTCAGGGATTTAGTCTCAACAACAGATTAGGTAGCAAAGCTCTAACATACCAATTAGCAGAGCTGTAGCTTCTAAATGCCACAATACAAAACACTTATCAAGAACAGGCAAAAACAATTGGCAGGTCCTTGGGGGAAAACTGGTTCATCCAATGGGTAAGAAAAAAAGGAATTTTTTTAGATGATATTCAAAATGTAGCAAGTCAGTAACTGTGCTCATAAACTAGCACCTATAATTGGGGTAACTGTATATTATTCAAAATAGGACACTTTTGAATTAAAGAGGCTTTTAATAAATATGCCATCAAAACAGGTATAGAATAGGCTTCCCAAGTAAACCAGAATGAATGGCTCTCAAACTGTGGTACTTCCATGGATATTGATAAACTGAATAATCATGATATATAATAACTACAATGTTCCACAGAGGAATTGGCCTTAATTACAAAGTTAGAAGCCACAGATCGTATTAATACAAGTTCTCTTCTCTCTCCACCTATATCCTTGGTGTGAAACATCAAATAGCCCTTTTATAATTACACAGCACAGCAGTAATTAATATTGATCTCAGAACTCAGTAAAGGTCAACATTAATTTGTAGAATATTTTGGATTAAATCTAGTTTTTACTCTGGAATTCATGCAGTGGGCAGTGTTTCACCAGCCCCATTACCATCACCATGATGACAACAGGCACAAACTTGGACAAATTGTCGGAAAAAGTTTTTATTTTTTTCTAAAGATGTAGCACACTTATGTATGGATCTTGAATCCCTAGTGAAATGGAGCCTTCATTATGAAAAGAAACATCTTCTCATTGGGTTTCTAAGCTGAAGGAGTTTGGTTTTTTTTTCCACTTTAACAAATATTAATTAGGGCCTACAGTATGCCACGCTCTGCCCTAAGTGACAGATGAAGCAGAGAACAAATGGACCAAATGACTGTCAACCCAATTAAAAATATTGTTTAGTCATTTGTCATCTTTGAGGCTAATGGTTCACAAACGTGACTGCACATCAGAATTACTAGGTGAGCTTTTTAAAAAATATTATGCCTTGTCACACAAAAACCTGCACACAAATGTTCATAGAATTATTCATAATAGCTAGAAACAATCCAAGTGTGCATCAACGAATGAATGGATAAATTAAAATGTAATGCACACATAAAATGCAATACTTCTTACCAGTTAAAGAGAATGAAGTTGGGATACACAGATGAATCTTGCATCTAAGTGAAAGGAACCAGACACAAAAGACCACATATTCTATGGTTCCGTTCATATGAAATGTTCAAAATAGGCAAATCTATAGAGACAGAATGTAGATTAGGGGTTGTCCAGGGCTGAGGATCTTGGGGAGGAGTGGGGAATGACAGCTAATGGGTACAGGTTTTCTTTTTTAGGATGATAAGAACGTTCTAAAATTGATTATAGTGACAGTTGTACATCCTTGAGAATATACGAAAACCCACTGAATTATTCACTCTAAATGAGTAAATTGTACAGTATGCAAATTATGTCAATAATAAAACTGAAAAAAGGATACTAAGCTTGGATCTCAGTCCAAAAGACTATGATTCAATTGGGAATCATTTGATTTTCATATTCAGCACCGAGAAACATTGAGATAAATTGAGTAACTCAAATGCTTAGGTTTTTACATTTCTTTTCCTTAAAATTTTTTTTTTGGAGATGGAGTCTTCCTCTGTCACCCAGGCTGGAGTGCAATGGTGTTGATCTCGGCTCACTGCAACCTCCATCTCCAGGGTTTAAGCAATTCTCCTGCCTCAGCCTCCCAAGGGACTACAGATGCATGCCACCACGTCTGGCTAATTTTGTATATCTTAGTAGAGACGGGGTTTCACTGTGTTGCCCAGGCTGGTCTCAAATTCCTAAGCTTAGGCAATCTGCCCACCTCAGCCTCCCAAAGTGCTAGCATTACAGGCATGAGCCACTGTGCCCAGCCTTTAAATTTATTTTTAGCTTATAAAATTTAATTTTAAAAATTCATTTTTCCTTCTTTTTTTCTTTTTTTTAAATTATAAATTATAGTCCCATGGATTTGCAAATATTGTTATACTAATTATATTATATAAGAATATTTTAAAAACTACAAAGGATAGACAGCACTGAGGAGAGATGAAGCAACAGAAATGTCAAAGTTGAAATTTGTTAAAATGTACTTGGCTTTTTTTCCCCCAAGGTTGGAATGATTAAACTGGTCGGACTCCAGCCTGGCCAAGATGGTGAAACCCTGTCTCTACTAAAAATACAAAACTTATCTGGGCACGGTGGTGGGCACCTATAATCCCAGCTACTCAGGAGGCTGAGGCAGGAGAATCACTTGAACTTGGGAGGTGGAGGTTGCAGTGAGTTGAAATTGTGCCACTGCACTCTAGCCTGGGCAACAGAGGAAGACTGTGTTGCTGGACTGACTTTAGAAGGCTTTCGAGGAATTAGTATTTGTTACTGCAGAATCATTAGCTCTTAATTTGTAATTTGATGGGTAAAAACAGACAAGTCACTTAAAGGAAGATATCACATTAAAAAGTTACTTTCCTTGACATCTGGCCACCAGTCAGCCCTGTCTCTCCCAGCCTTCATCTGAAGTACGGAAGACATTTAGCTTGCAGGTTCATGCCTAAGCAGTACCAGAGGGAATCTGGAGGGCCCTCACCATGCACCAGCAGCCCTATTCTTATTGGTATGGTTATACCTAACCTTAGAATTGCAGCTCTATGTTGGTTACCCGAAATACAAACCCAATTGATTGCAACTTTCTGCCTACCTCCCCATGGCATTTGTGCAGTCTTTATGACTGGGATTTGGCCTCAACGTTTCCTTCAATATCTCAGTAACCTGGTTGGGGATGAGCTTCACTTAGAAATGCAGTTCAGCAGTGCTGGTCTCCTCCCCAGCTTGGAGGAGGCCTGCCCTCCTGCAAGCCGGCCGCCTGGCTAGCGTCCTGCTCATGCTGGAGAATCTACCCTGTAAAGTTCCATGCTGTCTGCTGCTGCCAGACACTGTGTGCTGCCACTGCCAGGACACAATGCTCCTGGAACCCCTACCTGCTTCAGTGTTGATACTGGCCTGGACCAAGCAACAGGGAGAGGTGGCTCCAGATGTCCACCTGGACATTACCAGTGTTTGCTGGTCCCTGCAGCTCCCTCTGGCATGGGCATGACATTCCTGGAGTCATCTTCTTTTCTCCCTGGCCTGCCAGTGAGGTTATGGCGCTATCTTTGAAATCTTATTAGAAAAAATATAAAACATTTAGTTATATACAGTATTAAATAATTTTGTTTTTTAAAATTTAAAGAGTACATTCCAACTAACTCTATTTTAACAGTTTTGAGAACTTGACTATATGTTAGTATTTCTGGAGGGGTGGTAGAATCAATCAAACTAAATCATACTCTAATTCCAAGAAGGCTGGGAGTCAGATAGCTGAAGAGTGACTGACTCAAAAGCGAAGCAACAACTTGGGGATACTGTATTGACTCCTCTGTCTGGGGTCATTGCTGGGATCACTGAAGGTAATAATCTGGAAGAAGGAATTAGAAATATGTTCATCATATGTGGGGAAGACATTTAACTGAGCAGAGATAATAAAAGAGAGGAAAATAGGATGGTGAGCTTTTGTGCAAGATCATATATTTAGAAACAAAAAGAACACATGGATATGGGAAGCCAGATTGTAAGTGCTGTAAAAAACCCAGGGACACAGTTGAGCACGTGTTACCCTAAATTTGCAGGAAGGGAGCACTGTTATGAATCAACTAAGCTATCAGGCTCATTACTGGGAAGATCATACATCTGATATGTTGATGAACAGAAAGGTCCCAAATGAACAAGTTCACTCTTGTGTATTGTACTAGTCAAAGCAGCAACCTTAGTTTCATAATTACACCTAAAAAAATGACAATTTCCAAATACTTGAAAACATCAAAATTCAATGGGACATATCATAATCTATAGCAAGTATTCATTAAATATTTATTACTCGAATGAATGACAAATACTTTCATCCAACAATCTTTAAACTGCTTAACCTGTGACAATATCTAACCTTTTAAATTTCATGACCTTATTCCTTCTGTGCTCTAGTTTTTAAAAGCTCGATAATTCTATTTCTTTTCTTTTCTTTCTTTCTTTTTTTTTTTTTTTTTTTTTTTTTTTTTT